AGTGACCATGCCAGCCCTTGAGGGCAGTGGGTTGTCTATTTTGTTCACTGCTGTTTCCCTGGTGTCTCCCAAAATACTTGATACTTGGTGGGTGCTCCATAATCAGACCCTAAAGGAGAGATTTGTGGAGTGGAGCTTCGCAGAGTAGATTCACTCAGTTGGTCTGGGAAAACAATAGGATCTATGAGGGACGAAAGGCAAATAGGGCCCATGGCCACTGACCTGGACTGACATGTTCATAAAAAAGGGGAAACTCAACTTTGGGGTGGAAAAGGGACTTGGCAGGTCACCTGGTACTGACCCAGGCAGTGCACTGCTCTCAGTATGTCCACTAAAAATGGAGCCTATTCAACAGTTAACAGATTGGCATGAAGGTTATTAACCTTTCAGAAGCGGGTAGAGTGGTTCCTTCCTGAGGACTTTCCCACTCACCTCATGACTACTGACTGATCACTACAGCTCCATCCTAGTTGATCAGGCCAAATGCATCAGCTAATCTTGTTAGCCTTGCTTCCAAAATAAATCCAGAATCTGATGCCTTCCTAGCTCTTCATGACCCCAACCCTGGCCAGGCCCTGTCATTGCTTTTCTGGACTTGTGTAGGGGTCACCTCACTGGGCTTTCTGCTCCTGCTCTGGCCCCATGCCTGTTCTTTTCACAGCATCCAGGGGGATACTCTGAGGACCTCAGGGAGATCACATCCCTCCTATGCTCAAAACACTAGAGACTCATCTCACTCCCTGTAAAAGCCAAAGTTCTTACAAAGATGTGTCACTTCTCTGTCCCCATCTCTTCCCACTAACCCCATTGCTCCTTCCGCTCCAGCTACAGCAGCCTTTGCCATTCCTTGAAAATTCCTACCCTGCTCCTGCCTTAGAGCCTTTGCACTTGCTGCTCCCTCTACCTATACAGCTTTTCCCCCAGATAGCTGCATGCCTCACTACCTTAGTCTTTCAAGTCTGTTCTCAAATGTTTTCAAATGTGAGTTCCCAGACCACCCAATGTGAAAAAACAGTCCTCCCCAAGATGCTCCCAGCCTTCTTCCCTGGCTTTATTTATTTTTTTACAGCACTGCCCTACCTAAATGTAACATACTACATGATTTACTCATTCATTCTGTTTCTTGTCTGTATCAGGACTAGAAAAACTGGAAGCTTTGTCTCATTCCTAGCTCTGAATCTTCAACACTTAGAACAGTGCTGGGAACATAGGTGCTCAATAAATATTTGCCAAGCAAATGGATAAATATTTCTGCAATAGTCAAGTTGTGTGACCATGGGCCAAGTCAGTTGTCTGGACATCAGTGACCCAGTCTCTGAAATAGGGAGAGTAACTGATCTGAGGAAAGATAGAGATTAGAAATCACTGGCTGACTACTCCATAAACATGTGTGGAGTAGATGTTGAAACTTGCCTCACCCACCTCTGATTCCGGGCCTTCATACTTGCAGGTCAAGTACCTGACACTCTTGTCTTCTCCACGGTATCCCAAGGCCACAAGGACCTAGGGGTTACCAGACAGGGCTGAGCTTGAAAGCAACTTCTGGGTCTGAGTGGCACCAGCTTGGCCTGGTGAGTGGAGTCCAGGCCCCTCTTCTCTGCCTCTTGTGCCCACCCAAGTGACCCCTGGCTAACCCAACCCTAGTGACCTGTCACTGTGCCCAATATCTGGCAGCCCTACTGATCCCTTTGCCTGTACTCCCCATATCCCTGCGTGGGGTCCCTTCCTTGGTTCCTGTTTATTATTTAACCCTGGAATAGCATTTGGACATACACTTTGCAGGAAAGCAGATAGCGCTAGGCAAACAGAAGGGCAACCTGTCCAGGCCTAGGCTTTCCTGGAAAGATCAGGCACCTTGAGACCTGTGAACATCCCTACCCCAGCCCATAGAACTCTCCTACCAGCCAAACAAATGGGGGAATCCCTTCTCCCCACTTAGCCTGGGACAGGACTCATGGCAGGTGGTGGAGTCAGACCCCTGGCCAGGACAGGGAGCCTGCCAGGCAAGCAGCCTCCCCTGCTGATCATTCTCTCAGCATTTGTGGAGTACCTGCTGTGTGCTGGGTGCTATCATTGTGATCCTGCTAGTAGGGTCTGATAGAATAAGCAAGGGTTTGGGGGCCATGTAGACCTAAGTGTGAATTTTGACGTCACTACATTCATTTGCTATTTGTTCACTTTCCACATTGAGTACCTGCCCTGTGCCACACAGTGGTAAGCAAGATCTCCCTAGAAACATATAGTCAGAGATCAGATTGTCTTGCTGTGTATTCTTAATAAGTCCTTTTTTGGTTCTGAGCCTGAGTTTCTCTTCTCAGAGATGGGCAGATCCCTGCTTGGGGAGCTTTCCTGATGACTTTCTGTGATAACATTTGTAGAAGGGCCCTGGCCAGGTAGGGGGTTTCCTTCCCTTTTTGGCAGATGTGAATCTGGCCCCCTCTGCCAGTCTGCCTTCAGGAACAACATAGAGGTCCGTGGAACAGATGAAGGGCTCTGCTGTCCTTTGGGATAAGCTATACGAAGGGCACTCACCGAGTGACCTCCCGTGAGGTCCTTTCATAGCAATCCTTTCATGAATCAAGTGACCTGTCCTTGTCCTGGTATTCTCCATCCCCACTCCATCCCTATTGTTCTCCACAGGGGCTGTTGGTTCAAAAAATAGCGCTGGGCTGGGTCAGGTTCACAGGAAGAAGGCTTAGGTCAGCCTCATTCATTCATTCACTCACTCCTTGATTAATTCAATAAATGCTTATTAAATGTACCATTCCAGGTACAAAGGATACACCAATGAGCAAACAAAAATAAATATACAAGTAAATTACATGGTAAATGAGAAGGTGGGGAAGAGCATGCCAGGCAGAGGGACCAGCAAGTACAAAGGCTCTGGGGTAAGAGTGCGCCTGATAAATTCAAGGAACAGTGGTGAGTGTGGGGGTGGCATGAGGTCAGAGAGGTGGTGGGGCCTGATTGTGTGGGATCTTATCAGCTACTGTGGGGACTTTTTTCTTCTTCTGATCACCGGGGGGAGGGGGGGATGGGGAGCCTGTCCCTGCTCTCCCAGGAGAAGGGGGCACATATAACCATCCTCATAGTCCCACCTGCCAGTCTTGTCCTTGTGGGTGGCTGCGTGGAAGAGGTGGCTGAGTCAGGATGTGATAGGGACAGTTTGAGGCTGAGGGTCAGGTGGAACTGTGATGGGTTAAGGGCCTGTCTATAGCTGGGTTGGTCCCTACTAGGGATTTGGGCTTTTTTGTCTAATAGTCCATACGGTGGGCCTCTCCTGGCTCACCCAGCAGCCTCAGAGCTGAGGGACCCTGGTTCCCAGGCTGGATAATAGAAAGTAGAGACTAAGGAGCCTACCTTTTAAAGACAGGGAACCCAGAGTCCAGAGCACTGGGCTGCCCAGTGCCTGCTCACTTAAGAGTGAGTGTCTGCAGTCCACCCCCCACTTTTTTTTTTTTTTTGCTATATCTTTACTAGGTAAACCAGAGGTCAGCCGAAAAGGCATGTTTTGGGTCCATTTCTGGGAGAGAGCTCTGCTCTTTGTCCATGGGTGGCCACACTCAGAAGTCTGGGTGCTCCAGGCCTGACAGTAAGATGCTGATCCTCAGGCAGAAGGAATGGCATGTGCAGAGGCTCTGTGCACTTGGATTGATTAGGTCTGGGCTAGAGCCCAGGAATCTGTTTTGTTTCCCAGTTGACACTGTACAAACGGTTGGTTTGGGAATGACACTGTACCAGTGGTAGGTTTGGTAGCCACCAGGTCCTGCACAGCCTTCAGCCAAGAACCTGGAGGTATAGCAATCATTTTATGAAACTCCTCTAACTTGTTCCAGCCCTAGCCCAGAGAGGCCTGGGCCGAGGTAGGCACTCAGGCAATGGGGTGATATGTTACCAGCCACTGCCCTCTTTAAAGGGCCACCAGGCCTTTGCAAGGGCCAAAGAGGGGGTGGAGCTATCTACCCCCACCTAGCTGGATGTATAGAGACTTTAGTAGAAGCTGGGAAGGGGGGTTAGGAGATGGGAGAGGGGGTCGGGAGATCACTGAACAGCAAAACTTAAGTGTGATAGAGGTCGTGGGGTGCATTCTTCTCCTCTAGCAAGAGAGAGAGGGGTCTGAGTGGGATATCGTGGGTGGGGGTTGAGAAGAGTGAAGTAGACTAGAGAGCGAGCAAGAGAGAGTGGAGAGCCAGGTCTGACATGTGTGTATGGTCCCTGGCTCAATAATCGATAATCTAGTGGACCGACAATAGGTCGGACACGTGTGTGGAGAGAAGGGTGGGTTGAGTGGATGGAGAGACGAGCGGATGAATGAATGAATGAATGGCTGCGTGGGCGGTGAGCAGCCTGGGGAGGGGCGGGCCAGCGAGCGCTCAATCACAGCCGCGTGTTGCAGCTCCCGCCTGCTAAGCTCAGCCCGCCTCCCCCTACCGCGGCCCCGCCCGGGGTGCGTAATTCTGTGCCCCGGGAGCTCTGGAGCTGCTGCCCTTGGCGGCTCCGGAACTGGGACCAGGGGGGGCTGCGCCACCGCCGCGTGGCTCCACGCGCCAGCCTTTAGCGCGCAGGCTGGGCCACCCCTCAGCCGCTGGGGCGAACCTGGAGGTGCGGTCCCTTCTCGAGGACCCGGGCCCCGCGCTTCTTTGTCTTGGCCTCGTCCTCCGCTGTCTGCCGACCACGATTAGCCTCCTAAGGCAGCCCTCGCCGCCACCTTCCGGGATCTCCGAGTGTCAGTTTCCGCTGCCCCTAGCCTTTAGGCGGCTCTCCCGGCCCAGCAGGGTTCTCCAAACCCATTGCCTTTAGGACCACGGGGCCGGCAAGTGCCAGGATCTCCAAGCTGCTTCTCTGGTGCGGAGAAGGGGCGCGGGATGAAGGCCCCACCACGTCTCCGCCTTTTCTCCCGCGCCACTACTCCTTGCGTTGTGCCCCGACCCCAGTACAACCAGTTCGCGCCTTAAGCGGCTCTTCTGCGGCTGTGTGATCCCTGACGCCATGTGAGCCACCCCCTCACCCCACCTACCAGGCCTCAGACCCACACGCAGAACACAGCCCCACGCAGCCACACACCACAGCCTCTCGCCGACCCACAGCCCTGCACAGGGCACTGCCCCCTACACAGCAAACCCACAGCCCCAATAACCGTAATCCCACTCGCAAACAAGCCCACACGAATACAAAACCCTCAGACACACTCGGGTCCGTGCAGACACAATCCCCACCCCAACAACCTCACGCAGTCACAGCCCCGCACAGGCGCAGTCCCACCCACGCAGTCACACAATCCGCCCTATAAACAATCACACACAAACACGACCCCACACAGTCACCGCATCACTCAGTCCCTCCGAGACCTAGAGACACATTCACAGCTCGCAGCCATTCACAGCTCGCAGCCAGACCCGCACACCCCGTGACATTCACACGTAGGACAAGCCAGAAATATACAGCCACATTGATGATACACACACGAACTGAACGCGAAGCCAAGAGCTCACCTACCGGCTCATAAGTCACTGGAAAAATATTCAAGCGTTCCCTCCCACCCCTTCTATCTCTGACACGCGCGCGCGCACACACATACACACAAATGGAGACACTCACCCCCACCCCCTCTCTCTAAGCTCCTCAGAGCCTCGGAACTGGTGACCCCGAGCCCCCACGGTGAGAGCCGCAGGAGCGTCTCCCCGGCGCCCCCTCCTCCTGCTGGCGTCCGGAGCTCACCACTCCTCCCCCATCTCCTCCCTCTCTGCCCCCTCCTCCGCCTCCCCTCCCCCGCGTCTGGGGCGCGGGCTGCGCGCTGCCAAGCCCCCTCGTCGCGCGCCCCTCCCGGCGCGCGCCCCGCGCCCGCATCGCGCTTGCCGAGTGGATGCGGCCACGGGGCGGTCTCTAATTACCTCCTGTCCCCCGGCAGCCCGTGAATAATGGCTACTGAGGGCGCTCGCTGGGGCTGCTGAGAAGGAAACGTGGGGCGCGAGAGGCGCGGCGCGCGCGGGAGCGCGAGGGAGAAAGGAGCGAGCCCGGGGCTGCAGCGAGCAGCGGGTGGAGAGAAAGGAATTGTGCGAGCGCTCACATTTTTTTCTCCTAAGGATCTCATCTGGCCGCCGCGTTCTGGAAGAGGCGAGGGGGAGAGCGCGCGCGCGCGAGGAAGAGAGCTCTCAGACCGCGAGGGGAAAGGGAGACGGCAAGACGCGCAGCGCCGGCGCTTGGGAGACCCAGGAGAAGCCCGCAGGTATTGTTGGCGGCAAGAGCTTTGTGTCTTTTGGGGAGCCGTTCTCGGGCGCGAGGGCTCCCGGATCCCCCGGCCCGCGGCCGCGCTCAGACCTGCTCCAAACCCGGAGCTGGCCGCGGGGCGCCGCCTGCCGCCGGCACCCCTCCCGCGCGCCGCGATCTTGGCTGCATTTGGAGATTTGCCTGTTTTGGGGGTTTTCCACGCTGGTTGAGGGAATCGGCCTCAAGAGAAGGAATTTCTTTCCCTTTAAAAAAATTTTTTTTGGCCGCCGTTTGATTGCGCTGGGATCCCCCCATCCCCTTTCCTCCACGGTCTCGGCGAAGGCAAGGGGCTTAGATGGCGGGGCTGGTGGCCGCGGATGGGGAGGTGAGGGATGCTGGAGAATGAAGGAGTTTTGTTCAAGTTCGCAATCTGCACCCTGAAAGCTGGTCAGGCGGGGAAGGGCCGTCTGCGCGCCCGGTACTGCTCGGGATAAGCGGTGGGAAACTTCCCAGGAGCGCAGCCTCCCAGGGGATTCGGCGGCCCGGACGCCTCCGGGAGCTTCCTCTGGCCGAGGCGGCCCCTCCTTGCTGCCCGCAAGCGCTTAAGGTCGCGCTCTCCCCACCCCCGCCTTCCTCCCTCCCCCGGCGGCTTCCGGATCTGGACAGAGCTGGAGGAGCAGCTTCAAACACTTCCCCTGGAGACCCCTCCCCACTCCCCGCGCCAGAGCCTGCCCTATAGCCCCCCTGCCCTGCACCTCCGCCTCACGCGCGCCAGAGTGGCCAAGCTGACAATGAAATCTCGCGCTTCTGCTGTCGGGGTCGGAGGGTGGTCGCAGCTCGGTGTCTCCTGGGGCTGCTGACCCAGTGCAGGGGAAGGGGAGGGACTCCTTAGGGGGAGAGGCTTGTTTGGGTTGGAGACGTTGAAGTCGGGTGGCGCCTTGAGGGGAGCGGGTGGGGGCCAGGTGGGGTTCGCGGGGGAGGCCGGAGGCTTGGGTTCTCCGCAACGGGTGGCAGATTCTAGCCCCCCTTGGGCTTGGTGATTGGCTGGTGACTTCGAGCACGTCGGAGGCCGCCCCCCCCAGCCTTCTCCCCCCCAGCTCTGCCTCCTCCCCTCAAGTACAATGCGGGCTTCAGAGGTGATCCCGAGGGTGGAGAGCGTGCGTGCGTGCGTGCGTGTGCGTGTGTGTGTGTGTGTGTGTGTGTGTGTGTGTGTGACAGAGAGAGAGAGAGAGACACACACACACACGAAGTGTTTGCCTCCTGCGATCCATAGCAGACACTGCTCTGGTGACTCGAAGATCCGGACGCCTCTCTCCCTCCCTCAGGGCAGGGGGGAGGGGAGTGGTGGGAACTTCTTTTCCTACTGAGGCCCTGGGAAGGGAATGCTAGGCCAAAAAATTTCTGGGGATCGCAATCCTGCGGGGGACTCAACTCACAGTGAGGTCAGAGGCTTCTACTGCACTCTAAGCACCCAGATCCTTTTCCTTCTTTGTGGGGCGTGTGAAAGGGGTGAAGGGCTAGTTGAAACGGGAGTGGGGGTGGAGGACAATCAATGGAAATCTGCCTTAGTTGGATTGCAAGGCAGAGCAGCCCAAGGGCTAAAGGGGGCACCTTTTCTTTTCCTAGGGTAGGGAGCCAGGCCCAGGGACCCCAAGCTGGACACCTGGGCAGGTGAAGGCAATTCTTCTCCGTAGTTAAAGAGAGGATTCCTGGGGGAGTGGGGAGGCATCTTTGGGAGGGGCAGTTGCAGACAGTTTTCAGGCCATTCTTTGACTTGGCCCAGGAATGGAAAGAGTTAACCCTCCCCAGAAATCTGTCAGCCCCCACACAACAGGAACAGGGAGTCTGACCCTTCTACATGCTAACTGTGTGTGGTTGGCTGATAGGAGCTAACAGATTCTGAGCCCTGTGCTCCCTTAGCAGCAGCCTAGCCAGACAGGATTTGGCTGGGTGGTGCCTTGTTCAGGAACCTTAGGGGAGGCTGAAATCAGAGCCCAGAGAGACTGTCACAGCCTTGTGGCCATGATGGAAAAGGGGTTACTAGCCAGGGCCACTGGAACTGGAAGCCATGGAGGCTGGGGAGACCCTTCTACACTTACCCCATTCCCCACCTCCACTTTCACCCTCACCACCCACAGCTGGAGGCTTGGTGGTTAAGGGTGAGTTTCTGATCTGTAGGCTAGTCTGTGAAACCCTAGGAACTGAGAGCAGGCCTGAGTGAAGCCACAGGAGGGCAGGGCCCACTGACAGGATTGGTTTCTCCTCACTTGGAGGGCCCCATTATGGCATGAGCCCCCCTTGGTGTGGAGTTATGTAAGGGGCTGTCTTCCCTCTTCCTCACCCATCCTTCATTCCCATTTCCTGCAGATGAGAAACATTCCCTGTGGACCTTAGATTCCCCAGACCTGGCACAGGATAGGCACTCAGCTTTGGCTGGACAGACACAGGAGTGAATGAATCAGTGATGAATGAATGGATGAATGAAAGGAGAAAGTTTCTAAATTGGAGGCATTTACTCATTGTTTTTATTAAAAACAAAAACAAAAACGTTTTTGATGCACACATTTTAAAATATGGTTTGTAGGAAATATAAAAATTAAAGAAAAAGAAACAAAGAAAGTTGCTAACAGTCTTAGTGGGCTATGATAACATTAATATTTTGATGTCGTCCTTTGCAGTCTTTGTTGAGACTTGGTGGTTGGTTTGTTTTTTAAAGGCTTTGTCGTCATTCTCTGTATTCAGATGTATATCCTGCTCTTTCCGTAGGCGCTAACAGGAGCCTTTTCCTGTTTTGTAACCAGCTCTTCATAAACACCACAGTTAATGTCTTCAGGCTTTTCCAATCTGGTGGATGTACCATCATTTGCTTAATATTCCCCTTTTGTTCAACATTCTGGATACTCCTGATGAATGAGGTAGTGGATATATTTTGTGTAGAAAGCTTTTTTTGATGCTTAAGATGATTTCCTGAAAATGATTCTGCTGATGCCAAAGGCTCCAACATGCCTGCAGTGAAAGAAATGGACTTCTCGTTTTTTCCTGAAGTGGCACACTGTTCTTTTTTCCAGCACAATCTAGAACCTTCTATCAGAACCAAAAAGAACCTTGGTGATGAATCACCTGTCTGACTCCTCTCGTTTGACAGAGGAGAAAATGGGATCCCAGAGAAGGGAAGTGAGTCCCAAGGTCACACAGCAGCCAAGAACGGACTACCAATCTGCCAGTTTTGTTTCTGTATTCCAGAAGAGTCCCCAGGGCATTTTTAAGGCTGACCTTGTCCGTTTCAGAGATGGGGGTACTGAGACTCCAAGAGAGGAGAAGCACCCAGTGTGTGCCCCCTGGTTTCACTAACTGGAGCCCCAGACAGACTCCTAAGCCCTCTGTGTCACACACACTAGTTGTCCATGGGATCAGGGGTCACTCAAGTTACCAGCCTGTGATTGGTCAGCCATGTTGCTTTTCCCCACAACTCACCTTTCCTCTTTGCCCTTCCATTTTTCCAGAAGGAAAAGCTGAGGATCCAAAGCAGGTGCAGTGAGAGGGGTGGGAGTGTAGATGTCAGAGAACTCCACTGGTTATACCCCTACTCCTGTGCCTCAGTTTACTTGTCCAAAGAGCTAGCTCTGAGTCTGTTGAGGAGCTACAGGCCAGTGTTGGCACAAATATCCACCCCGGGGCTGTGGGGAAGGACTCTTAAACTCCCACTCTGATCTTGGGTTGACCTCCGGAGGCCCCCTGGGGAGGAAGGGGAAAAAGAGAGGGAGAGAGAGGAGAGAAAATAATGGAAAGGGGGACAGTGGGAGATAAAAGAAGGTATTAGGGAGGGGAGGTCAGGAAGGAAGAAAATGGAAAGAAAGGACCTACCTAAAATAAAGAATGAAGACAGCCCTTTCCTCCAATCTCACTGAACACCCAGAGGAGACATTGGGAGACATCACTCCTAGTGTGAGTATTGGGGATGGTCAGTGCTGGATGGCCAGGAACAGCTGGACATCCGAGGTGGACTCTGTCAGGGCTGAGTGGAACCGCTGTTTGGAGAGCTCTTGGGGTCAGAAGGATCCAGACCAGGTGGGTGGCAGGGAGGCAAGACCTTGGTGGATCTTCTGTTCATGGGTTTCCCCATGGGGCAGGTGGCACTGCACGTACATGTTGGGGACTGGGACAGGGTGTTTGTAGGGGGCGAGGTGATTGTGGCTCTGACTTCCCATCTCAAGGCAGTGACCTTTTCTTTTCACCCCTGCCAGCACACCCACCTACCGTGGAATTTAGAGCAGTCCTCCCGTGAGTGTGGGTATTTGGGCATTTTTTTAGTGTATTCTGTGCTTGAATGTGTCCCCATGGGCACATGCACATCTGTATATTCTTGTGTGTGCATGTCTGTGTGTCTGATCCTGTTTGTGTATTAGTGGGGGTTGGTGTGTCTGCCAGCCTGGGCCTGTGCCATGTTTGTGTGCTTTTAGATCCTGTTTGTATAAGGGGTCTGTATGTCTCCCAGCTTTGGCACATATATGTGCACACATGCCTGTGTATGAGAATCTGTGTGTGTCCCTGTGTGTGTCCCTGTCTGAGTCTCTGATACCATTTGTGCATTTTTTAGGGGGAGGAGGAAGTGTGCCCCTAAGCTTGGGCATATGCATGTGTGACTGTGTGAGCACACACTTTCCTCCTAATGGCCCCAAGAGAGATCCAGGCAGCATGCTTTTGTGCTGCTTTCAAGGTTGCAACTGGGTAGGTGAAAGCAAGGTGGCCTTCCACTTGGCAGGGTGGGTGGGGGGAGGCAAAAGAAAATCTTAAAAGACCATCTTCCCTCTGGTCTCCGAGGATTGGGCATATGCATGTGTGACTGTGTGAGCACACACTTTCCTCCTAATGGCCCCAAGAGAGATCCAGGCAGCATGCTTTTGTGCTGCTTTCAAGGTTGCAACTGGGTAGGTGAAAGCAAGGTGGCCTTCCACTTGGCAGGGTGGGTGGGGGGAGGCAAAAGAAAATCTTAAAAGACCATCTTCCCTCTGGTCTCCG